AAACGGTCAAACCGAATGGTTTAGTTTGGTTTTATACCAAAAAACCGAACAACTTGTAATATTTATAAAAATAATTTGTATTTGTCTTCACTTTTCATCTTTACGATATAAATGAATCATTAAAATATGAAAAATACATGTTAAGCATATACCGTTTTAACTTTTACACATTTCATATATTCATTATGACAAAGTTAGCTAATAAGGCATACTTGTATTTGTTATATTTTGTACTCTATATGTATGAAAACTGAAAAGATATTCGGCGATAACAACATCAAATTACATTTATATTAATTTCAATTAAACTAGAGTACACTATACATTTTACATGATTCATTTGAATAAAATTGTGAATTTTACAACACATTTAATGCCGACTCATTTAGTTTTGTTTGAATATTTTATTTGATATTATAAATGCTAATCAACTACCGCTAAAATTGTCCCAATTTTCTTTTTCGGTCTGTCCCACTAAGATTGTTTCATACCAAAATTAGTAAATTTGGTATGTGTGTCACTCCCTCTTGTACCAATGTTAGAGGTGAATCTTTTTTCTATTAATTGAACGGATGTGAGACGTTTTCATGTCATCGGTCTTAATAGAGTAAATTGATAAATTAGGTGTTAATCTATAATATTTTATTATTTCTTTTTCCATCTTTTATTTTCCTTTACATTTTATTTAAATAATAAATACAAGAAGATGTGATGGACTACTATTTTCATTTTCTAATTCTAAAATATAGAGCTTGATGAAATAAAATAATTAAGATATGAAACCAAATTAAATTGAACAAATTTGAACCTATTAATTTTTACTTTGGTAAACATAACCGAAATCAAACCGAACCAAAACCGGACCGAAACCAAACCGAATTTCAAACGGTTTGAGTTTGGTACAATATCTCCCAAACCGAATCAACCGAACCGAAACCAATGAAAACCGAACTGTAAACCGAATTGCCCACCCCTATTGAGTCTCATATCTAATATCATAGAGATCAAACATAAAAGAAAAAAAGGAGTTGATAGCTTTAAACTAGGCATATGGTATGTAAAAAAAACATTTAAAAGAGTACTGTAAATGCTGCAAGAGATGAAAAACTAAAAGTTGGAAGTGATTCAAACCCCGCGTTGGATTTGGCTGGAAAACAGGAAATTGGCTGTTAAGAGACGAAAACAAATTTAACCTAGGATTGCAAGTGAAATCGGTAGTAAATCGAAAATCATTTATCAATACCTAAAAAATAACCAGGGCAAGTATAACCTAAAAACCAAATGGGCAGTGAATTTACTGATTGTAACAATACCTTGGAAGAGGAATCCCCAATTCAGTAATTCTTGAGGCGCTTCAATTGGAAGATGAAGTAGGACCGTAAGATCGAAGGCTGGAAGCGACGAAGCTGGTCTTTTTCTTTGAAGCCGAAGAAACAGACGTATAGTAGCTGTAGTCCGTTTTCTTCTGCGTTGTATAATGTACTGAAGCCAAACGCGGTAGTGTTTTTTTAAGGTGTCCTTACCTTTGGGTCGCATTGCATAGAATGGGGCCGTCTGACTGTATATTAGCCTCTCTTTTCTTCCTTCTAGGGTGAGCCTATTTTTACTTGAAGTAGTCAAACTTCAAAAGTTAACTTCAAGAGATGAGATTTCACCACTGAAATTTTTTTTTTTTGAAAATTCTAAAATTGACACCACCAAAGAATAATGTAATGTTTCATAAATTATAAATTGACACCACTCCACTAATTAAAGAAACGTGGGCAATGTAAAAAAAATTTAAAATTGGAATACCAACTTAAATCAATTGAAAGTCAGGCAATTGAAAATTGGAACACTAACTTAAAACTGAAAAACGAGTTGAAGCTCAAACACTCTTGCAATTGATCAAATCTTTTGATTTTGCTTTCACCTTACACTTGAAAAACAAATGAGTTGTCAAAATCTTTACAAAGAAAGGATCAAGATATTCTTAATGCTATGGAATTGGTTAAAGTTGCCAAAGATTGTCTCAGGCATTATTCACTTGGTCAACACAAAATCACTCTTAATCTTTTATTTTAGGGAAAATCGCATTTTTAGTCCCTGAAATAGTCACGAAAATGAAATGTCGGACCCGTATATCTGATATTGTAAATGTCACCCTCAATTGTCCAAATTGTTGTAAATGTGATCCTTTAAGGTATGAAATGTACTCTCGCCCGCATTGTATACTTCACCCCTAAATGGACCGCATTTAGGGCATTTAGGACAATTGGGGGATGATATTTACAAACTTGAGAATACGGGTCGAACATTTCATTTTCGTGACTATTTCAAGGACTAAAAGTGCAATTTTCCCTTTATTTTATATATCAAATTTTTATCAAATTTGATTCTGGTTTTTGCGACTTTGTAAAGTTTTTTACGTAGTTTCTAAATATGTGATTTTTATTTTCTAAAAAAAATTTGAGTGCGTACAAGGATCAATTTTCTTTATCATCGGTTAAACATCGTAAACCGAATTGTTCCAGACATAGTGGGACGGAGGTAGTAGTATTCTGCTTAAAAATAGTTCTTTGTTAAATTGACACCACTGACACCGGTTCCTGGCTCCGTCCCTGCCCATCGGTATTTTTTTACTACGCATTTCAAAAGCCAAAAGATGGCTAATTGACGGTTTACCAAACACTTTCTATAATATGATATAAGGCTTAAATGATACAGGGTGTTTGGAAAATGGCGTTTCAACCAAAAAATGACGGTTTGGCCGATTTTGGCGTTTTCAATAAATGAAAACGTTGTTTGGTAAATAGTTGTTCGGTCATAGCGTTTTTGGACGGAACCGCTAAATGGAAACGATGCAAATAGAAGAGTTTTGAGCTAGCGTTTGACGTATGGCATTTTCTATTATTCGGTAATTTTATGATCAAACAACTAAATTACTAAACATTTTATGACAACCTACTAACTTAGGATGTTTTTACTTGGACTGTTTTCAGTCCCAAACCAGACTTAAGCAGGCCAGACCAGACTTAAACAGACCATACCAGACTTGACTTCCGTAGTTATAAAATACGTAGTATACAAAGATCAGACGTTTACCAGACCAGACCAGTTCAGACCAGACAAGACAAGACTTAAACAGACCAGATCAGAAATAAACAGACCAAACCAGGCCAGACCAGCAAATTACAATCCAAGTAAAAACATTCTTGTTCCGCTAGTCAAACCCACTGACTAAATCCATATTGACAACTCGTTAACATAACCCGTTAACCGCTTATGACGTTTTCATAATAATTATTGTTTATCAGTTAGTTAAAAGATATTTTTAAAAACTAAAATTAAGAAGTCCATTTGATAACCTTTTTGGTTTATCAGACATATCAGACAATTTTTTGTCAAAACAAGAAAATACGAACTCCAAGTAACTTGTTATTTTACGTGTTGATTTGTGTAATATCCAAAAAGTAAAGTTGAAGTTATTTTTTGACTAAATTTTATGAAGACAACTATTATTAGCTATATATTCATACATATTTTGTTCTTTAATAATAAAATATATTTTAAATATAATTTTTCATATACAACACATTAATCAATTTTAATTAGACTTTATTTCACAAATTGTAACATATTTTTTTTGAAAATAAAATTGTAACATATTTAGCTGATGTAATCAATTTGAATGTTAATCTAATTTTAATTTATATTCAATGGCATTATGGCATCTCAATAGAAAACCACTTGTGATCTTACTTTTTCTCATTATTAACTAGTTAATCATGCGGAGTAAAGGATTAATACATGGTAAAAAGAATTTGCGTACTACAAGACTAATTTAGAGTCACCTCCTGTTCTCCTAAGAAAAGCGGAGAGGCGTGAGTGCATGACTATATGAGCTTGTAAAATGAAACATGTGTTACAAACTTTGACGACACGAGTAGGGGTTGACCCGATCCAAGTCCCAGACCGACCGATCCCGGCCCCAGACCGGCTGACCCGAACCATGAATGGTGAATCCCGAAACTGGCCCAGATTTTGCGGATCTCGGGCTAGTTCAGGGTACGCGACCGGACTCCACCCCCAACGACTATATAGCTGTTTTATAGTTGTTACTTACAACTGTATGCCCCCACTCCCGATCCTTTAATTAAAAAAACGAGGTAGTCGTTGGGACCAGAACCAGGACCACCCGGTTTGGTCCCCAAAATAAATACCCGAGACGGCTCGCCGGTTACCTGGTCGGGCATCCACTCTTGAACCGGAACCGAATTCACGGATCTAGTCCGATCTTACACAATATCGGATTCGGATCCCGTTCTTCTAGGTCGGACCACCAGACCAGGTTCACCATAAAAAAAATTAAAGGACTTCCTTCTATACATTGATTCTTTAATCGTAAGTTTTTTGAAACGTACATGTCAAAAGGCTCATGTAGGGGTGGACTCGGCCCGGTTCAGGCCCGGGCCCGGCCGGGCCTCGGTTCATGAAAGGGGAGGCCCGGAACCGGCCCGGGTAACCCCCGGGTCCGGTTCGAGCCGGTCCTCGGTTCTACTTAATTTTTTTTTGGCTTTTCCTAATTAACCCCCAACCCTCCCCCCTCACCCCCAAACCACCTCAAATGGCCCAAAATGCCCAGCCCAACCCAAAAATTTAAAAAAAAAAATCAAAAATAAATAAATAGGCCCGGACCGGCCGGGCCGGTTCACCTTTTCAAGGGCCCGAGCCCAGCTCGGAACCCCAGCGGGTCGGGCCTACCCGGAACGGTCCCTGACCGGGCCGGCGATTCGGGCCGGTTCAAACAGTGACCGGGCCGGTTCCGGGCCGCCCGGCCCGAGTCCACCCCTAGGCTCATGTTCCGATGTACGGCTCATTAAGGGGAAAGAATTCCCCTTAACAACCGACTTTATCGCAAACGATGCCTTTTGACAATTCAATCGTCCTCAATCGTATCAAATGTAAATTGAGGGGAATAGGATAGTTTCCTATTTCTGGGTGTTAATATATATTTACAATTCATCCAAAAAAAAAAGATAGTTTCGTATTTGTTAACTTGATATGAAAATAATGTTCGTGTTTAGTGTCCACCAACAACTCAACAAGTAACAAATCAATAAATTGCAACATATCTAGGAGCTCATGCAGCCATCTCCATTTGACCATATAAACTCCAAACACTACCAAATAATCTACTCCCTATAAACATTCAACTCCCATTCTAATCAAGTAGAACAAAAACCTTGTCAAATCCCAAGAAGCAATCCATCAGCTCAACTCGGTCCATAAACAAATCATCAGCAGCAGTTGTCTCAGACCGTCAAAGTTTCTGACAGTTTTATTTGAGCAGTCTCGACTAGACCCACATAAACAATGGTGTAAAATTTACAGCTGCAGAAATCAATCTTAACCGAGGGTGTAATATTCACAATTCTAAAAAGCCTTAAAAGTGCCTCACTCGCTTTACATGACACGTTACAGTACAATGGCACACTCATCACCATCTTATAGAGGTAAATTGATCTTTTCAGACCATTTAAAGATCTGTGAGTAGACTTGATCACCTCCCAAGTCTTCTCCAGTACCACCTGCAGCAACCCTCATAATATCCTCAATTAAAGCAAAGTTTCCCATTATATCAACATGGGCACCACTCTGTGTTCCACGGCCTTCTAGAAGATTGGAAGGGGGGGCATGTTCGTATTCCCTTATGTAAGTTTTTACTCCGGAAGGATTGAATCTGGTTTTCCCGCGCCATCCTTTAGCACACATGAAACCTGAACTTAAAACAGGGACGGTCTCATCACCGTCAACAGTGTAAACACCATCCCTCAGGCAGCTTTCTTCATCGGCGATACCTGCTGAAGTGTCAATCTGAAAAGGGATGTCGCACTCAGCTGCTGATGGGACCTGTCTGTAAACATATGCTCTTTCGGTTGGGATGCCAACACCATACATTGAATAGATCTCCATCTCAGGAGCATTTGGTAACCTGCAGATATTTATTTTTATTGTTTTTTCATGTCAGGATGAATATCAGTGTTTTACTTCTTAGAGGACTACGACCTAGGTACGGCTAAAAAGAAATATGAGGATGTTATGTGGCCAAACTTGGCTTATTCTACTTAACCGGCCTAATAGACGAAATAATCGAAATATGCAGAATAACCCTTAGCGAATGGGCACCAAGAGTTCGCTTGGTAATGGTGAATTAGGCTTAAATTGTTAAAATGTTGAAGTTAACTAAAATTGCTGGGTTGTGAGAAAGAAACTATACTTCCAATATATTTAATTGAAAAATAAAGGGAAGGTATATGAGAAAAGGCTAAAATGGCCAAACTTCAGACGAAAAAGTACATTAACTCTTACTCTTTTGCATTATGAATTCAGCACTAGAAATCAACTGAATTAGTGTATGGGATAAATTAGGGCTCATACATAAGCCCAAAAAGTGGCATCAATATGGCCACCATTCATGCCTTTCCTTTGTTTGCCACAAAAATATTGGAGATGTATAATGAGCCAGTTTAGGGCACAAAAATGGGTCCTCACCTTGTTTCTAGAGGATTTGACCAGTATTTATAATGTGTATACTCTGGATCATCCAAATTTTCAGCAATTCCATAAGAAAAGTGGGCATTACCACGGGCCATCATTTTTGGCGCGATAAATTGGAATAAATCAAGAATATCACTTGCAGTGTAGACTTTATATTCTGCAACTGCTTTGATACCCCCAATACCCATATCAAGATACTCAGTCCAAACATCCTGACAGCTGTTATTTGCAATGTTCCTCCCCTTCACAGCACCCTGCATGTAATAAAACTCAGAAATCACTTCCTGCAAGAGGCAAATTCATGCCAATATTTTTTTGGAAATTATACTCTGAAGGATAATATTAAGTCAAAAACTCATTCAACATAAAGATATGAGTTAATTCCAATTTAGTCCATCAGGTACAAACTAGTACTCAATTTCGCAATTGACTTTTTTTGGACTATAAGATAAGAGTTAACCTCCATTTCAGTCCTTCAGCATAGTTGAAGAGAGAGAATATTAAAATGGGTCTTTATATAGCATGGACCAAAAATCCTGCTAATATGAAGGCAAATATGTATAAGGACTATATTCCATCCCAATTGTAGAATTGTAGAATGGGACTTTAAATAAAACAAATGAGTAAATTGAGTATAGTCAAGGGACTAATTTAGGTAATAGATCTAAAAACAATTCTCCTGACAATAACTCAAGTTATGGAAAAATAAAAGTTACTCTGAAGTCAATCCTCTTTAGCTCTGGTGATTCTGCCTTGGCAGCATCCATTCCAAATGAAATCATCCTTCCATAAGTCACATCACTCACTTTAGATTCCACATTTAGAATCCCGTTGTGACCTGAATCCTTGGTAGTATTATTGTTCTTATGTTTCCTAGTGCAAGGAGAATAGCCATCCTCAGGAGACCAGTCAAGACCACCCCATATTGTATCACCTCCTCTTGGTAGCATAGACATGGTCGAATCCCATGTCCTTGTCATCTTCATTAAATGTAACAGTGTTTGGAAACGGAATATGTCCTTATCCAACACACCTGGTGCTAAAGCCCTATAATCAAGGTAAGTTATCAAATACCAGTGTAAATGTGCAACAGGTTGTACGATGTAAAATTGAGTGCTTCACAAAGCTTGCTCAGTAAATTGGTATTATTCTTTATGAATCTTTATCTTCTTCATGTTTTTAACTTTTGATAATTTGAAGATAAAACAAGGATATCAAAACGAGAATCAACCCGTGACTCAAAGTCCTGTTTTTTTAAATCTTGAGTCATATCTAAATCGAATCGTAAGATACTTAATCGTAAATACAATGAAGTATACTTTTACACAAGGAAACCTGCAAAACATATAAAAAATAATTATTAAAATGTAATATGTGACGAAATGATGGCATAAGTTAAATCTAATCCACTTTTATTGAAAGCATTTGATATAAAATTGTGAGTAAGTTAAGAGTTTGTATTGCTGGAAAAAATATGTTTCAGTTAAATCTAATCCACTTTTATTGAAAGCATTTGATATAAAATTGTGAGTAAGTTAAGAGTTTGTATTGCTGGAAAAAATATGTTTCAGTTAAATCTAATCCACTTTTATTGAAAGCATTTGATATAAAATTGTGAGTAAGTTAAGAGTTTGTATTTCAGGAAAAAATATGTTTCAATTTAATTGACTCTGTCAATTGTTAATACAATATTCCGTATATAACTTCTATAAGCTTGTTATAACTAGGAAATGTTTGAAACTAATTCGCCATTTCAGTTATTAGTCAGATATAGAATCATAGATCACAAATTATTTTTTATTTTTTATTGGCAAAGGATCACAGATTATTTTAAAAACTTCTTTTATTGACAGATAATTTTACCTTCTCGATCCAGAATAAAACAAATCACCAAAAAACACTTAAGTCATGGAAAATGAAATCACTAATCACATTGTCTCACACAAAATTATACTTCTTCGTTGACTACTATTATATGCATCAACCATCCAACCACAAATGTATACACAACATATGCTTACAATACTTCTTGGTTAACTACTGATAAGAATTTGGTCTTTTCCCAAAAAGACAGAAATATTTGAACCAAATTTATTACCCATTACTAAATCTAAAGTTAGTTGCAGCTAAATTTTCACTTTCAACTGCACTATAACAGCAAGAAGCAGGAAAACGTTACCCTACAACAATTGCTGGACTTATGTTTACCAGTGCATAAAAACACAAGAGCATGAAACAAGTATTAAAGTATACCTAGCAACAGCAATATCCCTTGCTTCAGAAGTGAAAAGTCCAGCAACTGATTTGGGAACTCCTAAAAACGGTCCACCAATGTTCATTACAGCTTTAATGTGTTTGGCACACCAGTCCGGTCCTCCACCACCACCCATTGGAGCCGGTGCTTCCACCCATTTCATGAAATGCAAGAAATACGGAACTCCCATTGAATGAGGAACAATTACTGCTTTTTTACCTCCATTTGTTTCAACCATCAGCTCAATATTACTTTTTATACGGCTCAGTGATTGGTCTCTCACCTGATGGGGTTAATTAGTACTTCAATATATTTCACACCCTAAGTTCTCAAATAGCTGTCTAATAAGAAAAAGTTGGTTTTTAAATGTGATAACTGATCATTATCAATCAATCATCATTTACCCCAATGCCGCAAAGGCTCCCACCTACGGTGGGGTAAGGGGGGGGTCGGATGTACGCAGTCTTACCCCTGTACCAAAGCACAGAAAGACTGTTTCCGGATGACCCATAATGAAAATCGACTCCAAAATTGCATGGACTGACTGCCGCTTCATAACAAAGAAGAGCAGACAGTTTGGTGAGCCATTTTGCTTTATTCCATCATACTCTCTAGCCAAAAAATAATATGATAACTGATCATTAGTTGTCATAAATTGAAAAGCATGCCTTATTCATTTCTAGGTATTAAAAGTAAGAAACAAAGTAGCAATAAATATGAGAGGCACCAAGACATTTTGCTCCGCTTCCTTTTATTGGTTTGGTAAATGTAATACGGAGTAGTTAGTAACAAAATGTATTGAGTTGATGTACAGCTATTTAAGAACGGAGGAAGTAGCATTGAAACTACTTTGTTTTAAAGATGGATTGGACATGATTGCCAATCACAGAGACATACCTCTGTGTTCTGAAATGAAAGTCTCCAATCATATGCAGCCATATACATGGTCTTCTCCTCATATCCTATTCGAGCCAAATTAGCAATCAGAACTGCCCAAACAAAATACCCTGGAGCAAAGTAATCTGCAGCCACAAGGCCTGTGACTGGCCTAACCCTAATTCCAGAGGGATCTAGCCCAGTTTCATTGTCCAGTGACATATGTTCCACCCAACATAGAGGTCTGCATATCATCAATTGAATTTCCAAATGTTCATATACAATTAAATATATATGTACATACAAGCTCTGCTAGCAGCTAATTTCTTGTCATACGGTTGATTTTTTTTGCAATCTTCCAAATAATTACACTTGCAGCTTTTATTAAGGTCAAATTAAAAGTAGTTTTCCAAACTCCATAGATGATTCTTATACAAGATGAAGAATACTCCGTCTTGGGGCAATCAATATCAGTGTCTATTGCAGACCCAACACTAAATGAGCATTTGATATAGTAATGAAATCCAATGAGCTAGAAAGTCGAAGTAAAATTAGCTCTGCAAAAAACACAGTATCATACAGTAAAGCACAGCGGATATCTCATACGGTGCTAGGAATAAATACGAAATGGAGAAATAAATACTGGCTAATGACCTTTTATAGACTTCGCCGAATGTTCCCCCCCAAAGGCGTTTCCGAAACAAGCCCTCTGCGCACTGGTGTCCCTCCCACAGCTCAAGCCCACCAGTTACAATTCCTGGAACAAAAACGACCGGATGCTTAGCCTTCAATCCTTCCTTGTGCAACTTGACACCTGGAGGATCAGGCGCCGGTCCGGTGATCGCCTCCGTGACATACTGCGGGAACGAGGCCGGCATCGCATTGTAAAGGAACAACAAAATCCACCACACGGTGCAGATGTATCCGACGAACCAGCAGCAATTGTCGATGCAGGACCACTTGCTCTTTCCCTCGCCCCTGGCTTTCGGGACATAGGGCTTGCTGCTCTTCTTCTTCTTGTTCTCGTCGTCTTCACTGCTCGGCTTCGAAATCGAAGCTTCTGGCTTCGAGTTCTCCGGCGCCTTTTTCCTGCGAATCAACGGCATCTCCGCTTTACTCCGTCCGATGGAGCGGTGGCGGGACAAGGCGGCGACAGATGTCTTGTGAGTTTTTAATAACGCATGGGAAGCGAAGGCAGCGTTGCAGAGTAGCAGGAAGAGTCTTGTGGGGCCGGAAGTAATAGTTGCCTGACGTGGAGTGAGATCTATGGGTCGTTGAATTGGTGTTCTTTTAGCAATTTATTATTCCTTTATACTGTATTTAGACTTACCCAACTACCCAAGTTGGCATTTGGCAACATGTATAGTTTCACGTGTTTTGATGATTGGAAAATCTCAGCCAAGTAGGTTGAATTAGAGATTCCCCAAATACGCAAAATATACCGTACACCCGGTTGTACGGTTCTCACCGTACAACCGGGTATTTTTGAAATTAATTACAACTCAGATGATAAAGGTTAGGGATGAAGAAGCCGCCGAAGAGTTCTGTTTGCTGCGCGCGCTGATGTCCTGGGAATCGACGGAGGAGGTGCCGATGTTTGGCCTGCTTAGACGAAGAGTTCTGCGATGTTTGCTTTGTTCTGCTTACGTTTTTTTGTTTTGTTTTTTCTTTTCTTCCTTTCCTGCTTTAACTTGTTTCCTTCTCTCTTTTCACTTTCGTTTTTTTTACTTTAATGTTATTCAATTATAAAATATTTTATGAATTAATGTTTTGATTTTATATAACTCATTTTGTGAGTTACATATACTCATTTGATATCGGTTTTATGCTAATTTTAAAATATCATTTACATACTCATTTCGTAAGTTATCTATACTCATTTGATATTGGTATAATACTCATTTTAAAATGAGCATTACACCATACATTTCAAAATGTCATACTCATGCATATTGGTGTAATGCTCATTTTAGTTTTTTCGATGCTCATTTCATAGGTTATGCATTATCATTTACTATTTGAGCATACTGGAGATTTTAAGTGAATTTTTTTGAATTTTTTCGATACTCGTTTTGTAAGTATGTATGCTCATTTTATCTTGGTGTAATACTCATATTGTAAGTTACTTATGCTCATTCGATATTGACGTTACTTAAGATACTTATTAAGTTTTTATAAACCAAAAAATAATTAAAAAAAAATGACTTAGAAGTTATGAAGCAGATATCACGATTCTGATTATTAAACTTCTAATACTCAACATAATAGGTCTGATGCTCATTAAAAGTTCATTAATGCTCATTAAAAATTCATTAATGCTCAATTAAAATGTCGTGATGTTCAACTAACAAAGCAACTAACAAATTCATTAATACTCATTTTGTAAGTTATGTATGCTCATCTGGTGCTGATCTCATGCTCATTTTGTAAATGTCATATCAATGCATTTTTAAAAGTACTATTCTACATTAGATTCACATATTGTAATTCATAGGAGTTGATTATAAATATAATGTAATTAATTTTTATAAAAGAAAAATAACAAAAAGAAAGTGAATTAAAAGTTATGAAGCAGAGATCACGATTCTGAATATTGGACTCCTAATACTCAATATAATAAGATTGATGCTCATTAAAAATTCAATATTACTCATTCTTCAGAAGTCGTGATTTTCATCTCAATAGTGGAGGTTGATGGTCAATTAAAATGTCATGATGTTCAACTTACAAATCTTACGATTTTCTTATCAATGTGCACTTTGTATGTTATGTATGCTCATTTGGTACTGATGTTATGCTCATTTTTACAATGTCATATAAATGCATATTTCATATTACATTACACTCGCATATTGAAATTAATAAGAGTGGATTGTAGATATAATTTAATAAGTTTTTATAAAAGAAAAAAAAGATTAGAAGATATGAAGCAGAGATCGTGATACTCATTGTTAGCATCCTAATACTCAATAAAATAGACCAGATGTTCACTAAAAGTACAATATTGCTCATTGAGCATCAAACGCCCTCCATAGAGTACAATATTGCAATTGAATACACATAATTTAAAAGTCTCATTTGAGTATAAAAACATTCTCATTGAGTATATTGTTTTCTACTATTGAGTATCAAGATTATATGTAATGAATATTAGAATTCTTAAAGTGTGCATACAAAATTTCATTTAGAATCAAAAGCATTTTCAATTGAATATCATGTTTTTTTACTACTTTAGTTCTTTTTGCCACGGTCAAACCAGACCAAACACAATTTCCAATGATATCTATTGCAAGCAACCTGTAGTGGATTACAAAAGTGCAGGAAATAAGCAAAACTATTGAAAATTTAATTACAAAGAATTGAAGTTAAATCATATTCGGATTTACCATAAATTAATAAATATTCATGTTAAATTAAAAATAGAAAAATTAAACATTAACACATTAAATATTCATCATAAATTGAAATCAATGAAAAGGTAGTTAAGATAAAACGAAAAGAGAAATAAAAATGAAAACTACTTACAAGTTACAAAGCAAAAGCACGTTAAGGTGGTTGAGAAAAAAAAGAACTGCCGAGTGCGGACATAGTCCATACACACACAGGGAAAGAGGCGAACGGAAGAAACAGGGAAAGAGGCGGACGGAAGAAACAGGGAAAGAGGTGGACGGAAGGAGGAGGATCTGATTATTGTTCTTCAACCAAATACACCTCTCGTGGTCACAACCATATCCATATGACTTCTTCCATGGCCAGCGACAACAATGGAGGACGGAGTTGTGAGGAGCGCGAAGCAGGCATTGTTCGCATTTCTTTGATTTCGGATTCGTCATCTTAATTCTTACTTGTCTTTTAACTTCAAATTGGGAGTTTTAGTTTGTATATGAAAAGTTAGGCTGAATGATTCTGTTCACGACATCTACTCCCATCACTTTGAACTTAGCTTGTGACTTATGGAGAAGAGAAGATTTTTTAGCATAGTTCTTTGTGGTCGTTTCTTAGGGTTTTTAGGGTAGTAAAAATCTGCAATTTTAATGTTTAGTTTATCTGCAAGTTTGGTTAGTCGTGTTTTTAGATAATTACAGCTACGGAATTATTTTGTGTGTGAATTACTTTCTTCTATTAGGTTGGGATGAGAAAAATCTGTAAGACCTAATAACTAAGTTAAATAAGGGATTTTGTTTAAGACACTTTAAAAACGTAAATGTTCTTGCTCCTTGCATCAGAAAAGAGTCAGATTTAAGTTCATCTTGAAAACCTATTATTGATCTCATGTTCATAAATAATTGTAAATTTGGATAGTTGCATCTCAATGCTTGTAAACTAAGATTAATAAGAGAGAAATCTAGAAAGGTGGTAAGCATTATGGCAGCTTAATCTGGCTCTTTATATCAAACAGCAGTGTACTTATTTTAATTCAAACACTTGTATTAGGTCCTGTAATACAGTACTTTATCCAATACTTTTAAGAAATTGTGTAAAGTTTTTAATACTATAATATTTGTTTTTTGTTTCAGAATGTTTTTGGAAGCTGAAATATGAATACACCACGGTGGGAATTTTATCAAAGATCCTGAGTTGTCCTATGTTAATGGTGACACACAAATTGTAACTTTTGATCCGGATAGGATTTCATATCCTCACTTGCTGAAGTATATCACGACCGATGCATATAAAAAGGTGGAGTCCTTATCGTTCAAACTACCTGAAGAGAACATGCATATGCTAAGAACACTATGGAATGATGAGTCTACCCTTTGGCTTATTGAGATGGCAGTTAAGTGGGTTGTAGTAGATATATGTGGAGCATGATATTGATAAGTCAGAAGTCCTCACTGAGCTAGCAAAGTGACTCATCCAAGGTGAATCATGCTTGCAAAGTGCCCTCGTACAATCCAAATTCAAAAAAAAATGAAGTGGGGATGTTATTTGAAGATGCTAAGCAGTTCAAAAGTGCATTGATTACTTATGCAGTTCGCAAGAAGTGAGATATCTAATGGGTGAAGAATGAACCAAATGGAGTTCATACTTGTGGTGTTTTTTTAAGTTTTTTGCCTGACTTTTGTATGGGGTATAACCCCTTTTTGTAAATGTACTAATTATGGGTAAACATTCCCTTTTATATGCTTTTTATGGAATATATACATGATACATGAAAAGCTATATGTGATGATTTTGAATCCCCAAATCCTGTTAATAGTGTGCTTTTAAATGGGAGTTTCTGTGAACTTCACGTCCTAGAAACTGTTTACACAGATTGTGGTGTTACAGCCCCGGTTGATTGTGATGTGGCTGCCCCATTTACTGCTGCAGCCCCAATTGCAACCCATATTGAAGCCTCTAAGGCTTGTCAATATGTCCCATTTGATGCCTTTATTGTTGCTGCAACTGCAGCCACTGCTGCAGCCCATATTGATTTCTCTAATGCTTGTGAATTTGTCCCTTTGAAGAGCTTTTCAGATGCTGCAACAGCAGCTCCAAGTGCAGCACATATTGATCTAGTACCCACCCTGTTTTTAGACATACATAGTCGAATCATGCATGACCTGTCACTAAGCTATAGCCTTGATAAGAAAAAATTGGACATTACTTGATTTTACTATGAAGTAATGGATGTATATGACTTGGAAAAATAATTCAGATGAATTAAGTTGTTGTTCTTTTGATTTATACTGCTTATGTTTTAATACTAACCACACTGTGTCAAACTGGTTTGTTAATGTATGACCAAATTAGTGAAAACATTCACTTGTGAATCAATGAATAAAGTTGAATAATGTAAGGCATAAGAGGAAATAAAAAAACAAGACTGTTGCTTCTTACATAACAACCAATTTTCCATAACCATCAAAATTAGTTCTAAACCCACAACAAAACATTAATGTTCCTACAAGACTAATGAAGATCTTTCATACAACTACGACATAATGTTTTTCCCATTGAGTAAACAAATTACAAATGATAATCCTACAACAAGTGTGACAACATTCCATACGGATCCAACTTGATTGTTCTCCTTCTTTTGGATAAGATTCTTGCTTTCCTCCATTTGAATAAGTTTCTTGATTTCCTCCATGGCATGGCTAGGTTTCTAGATGTCTTCCATTTGAAATTGCAGAACTGCTCTCATATCACAAACTTCACGATGAAGACCCCATAATTTGTGTTCTCGGGAGACAAACTAAAGATTTCAGCTAATGAAATTCTGATTTTTCAGCTCCTTCAATCACCAATTCTGGATTTTCTTCCTCTTGAACTCCATTTTCATCTTTCCACGAAAAGTACTTGCAGCCTCCTTCCTGCATTTTCCACCACAACTAAGTAAAAAAGTTCTTAATTATATACATACAACC